TGATTGCTCTCGTTCCAATGTAAATGGAAGGATGAGTACGGATTGTGCCATGCTTCCTCGCTATCTTGCTGACAATATTAGGGCATGTGCGTTCCCGCAAATGCATGTTCGTCCCCAGCTCATCTTCCCTCCCTAATATTATTTCTCCTGTATTTTATTTTCCAGCTTCGCAATCTAGTCAATCTTCGTACTTGCCTGAAATGCCCTGCGATCCTTCCGTCCATCATTCGAATCACGTCCCAACAAATAGAGTGGTCGGTCCACACACCGATTCCCCCTCCTATCTCGATTACTTGACTCTTAAAGCAAACCAGCGACGATCCCGGGGCTCAAATGTGCTTTTGCGGGCACCATTACCAGCTCCGCCTTCGACGTCATCATCTTCATCATTCGCTTCATCCTCTGCGTCCACTCAGGCGGAAGTCTCTTCAGATCCCCCTCCAAGCTTTGTTTCATCTCATTCTAAACTATCCTGCAATGATGAAATTGCCTTGGAAAAGCCTTATGCAGTCTCTTCCTCACAGTCTCACCTAGAATGGATCATTCACTTACAAAAAAATCGTCTTAAAAGTTCTGTATCGAACTGATTTTTTATATCAAGGATTGCTTTATATACACGTGTAAATATACGTATGTGACATTGGGTGATATTGGTTATCCTAATAAACTATTTTCATAACCATTTGTTACACCCTTGCTCTATTCTATTAAATCTGATCGGGTCTGCATGCATGTGGTTTGCGTATTTAACATGCATTTTTTGTTTTAATTAGTCCGAGTAATCAATTACATTGTAAAAAATGACCTTATTTACACTAGGCTTTATTTAAGTTCTCGCTTCTGTCTGCTTAGTTAAGACAGCCGACCGCTTGAAACTTCATTCCCCAACTAAGGTATGCAACGCCTGTTTGCTCGCTTTGTCAAAGTTTGGCGCAGCAACGAGTCTGCTCGAGCCTGCACTTACGCCTTAGTGAGCTTCTCTGCTGGCCTCACAGTTGGTGGATTACTCGCTCAATCAAACTTGAAGGAACAGGTTCTTTCACCTTCACCAGGCCCAGACATTCCTGATAGTGCTTCCTATTTTGGCTTTCAATCTTATGATCGTAATCGGGTGTTGGCAGCTTTTGCTTCAGTTGGTCTGCCAGAGGGTGATCCGGTTTCTGTATACAAACGCTTTGTTGTCGCGTATGATCGCCGCAATCGCATACCTAAGTGGGTTGCCGAGCATTTGACCCGCGACCAACTTGACCAATTCAACTCATCTCGAAAGAATCTCCCCTCACTTAGGTACGCATTGAATATATCACAAATAGTCATTTT